AAGAAGCAACGAACAATGAATAGAAGAAGAAGAAGGAGAAGAAGAAGAAGAAGCAACGAAAAATGAATAGAAGAAGAAGAAGAAGAAGAAGAAGAAGAACAATGAATAAAAGAAGAAGAAGAAGAAGAAGAAGAAGAAGAAAAAGCAACGAACAAGGAATAGAAGAAGAAGAAGAAGAAGAAAAAAGAAGAAGAAGAAGCAACGAACAAGAAGAAGAAGAAGAAAAAAAGCAACGAACAAGGAATAGAAGAAGAAGAAGAAGAAGAAAGAAGAAGAAGAAGAAGCAACGAAGAAGAAGAAGAAGAAGAAAAAGCAACGAACAAGGAATAGAAGAAGAAGAAGAAGAAGAAGAAGAAGAAGAAGAAGAAGAAGAAGAAGGCTGGTCGACTGATTGATTCGTTTTGTACGGTTTGTTAACTCGTTGTAGGTTTATTAATATATTTATTTTGTACAAATTTTTCTGTGGGAGACGATAATGTTTTAATGATTCAAATCTTATTAATTAAATCATAGTTGGGGCAAGGAGAAAAGATGGATTCTTACCCCCTTCAAAAGTATTTGCACGTAAGTAAATATAACGAACATAACTGGAACTCAGTTATTCGATAAGAAATCTGGACCATTTTCCATTACACAACCCGCACATCCAAGCTTACAGCAAGTATTCCCAAGCAGTCACCCATATAGGTACTCACTCGGTTCAGCCTTGCTTAAATTCGGTAATTTACGAGGATAGCTTTTTCAACGTGATGTGCCAAGAAGGAGAAGAAAAGAACGAGCAGACAAAAGATTATGAATAGAAGAAAGAGAAGAGAAACAGTAAGAAAAGAAGAGGAAATAAAGAAAGAAAAAATCAAGGAAAAGAAGAAGAAGAAGAAAAAGAAGAGGAGGAAGAGGAAGAAGAAGAAGAAACAAAGTATATTAGACTAAGAAGTAGAAGAGAGAATATAAGGAGGATAAGAAGAAGAAGAAGGAGGAGGACGAGGAGAAAGAGGAGGAGGCTTAAAAGAGGAAGTAGACGGAATATAAAAGGATAATAATAATAATAAGAAGAAGAAGAAGAAGAAGAGGAAGAAGAAGACTAGTAGAAGCGGAACAAAGAATATAAGATGAAGGAAGAGAAGAAGGAATATAAGAAGGATGATAAGAAGAAGCATAAGAATGAGAAGTAGAAGAAAAAAGAAGAAAAAGAAGAAACAAGGAATAGAAGAAGAAGAAGAAGAAAGGGGAAGAAGAAGAAGAAGAAGCAACGAACAAGGAATAGAAGAAGAAGAAGAAGAAGAAGAAGAAGAAGAAGAAGAAAATGAAGAAACAACGAACAAGGTATAGAAGAAGAAGAAGAAGAAGAAGAAGAAGAACAAAATGAAGAAACAAAGAACAAGGTATAAGAAACAACGAACAAGGTATAGAAGAATAAGAAGAAGAAGAAGAAGAAGAGGAAAAAGAAGAAGAAAAAGCAACGAACAATGAATACAAGAAGGAGAAGAAGAAGCAATGAACAAGGAATAGAAGAAGAAGAAGAAGAAGAAGAAGAAGAAGAAGAAGAAGAAGAAGAAGAAGAAGAAAAAAGCAACGAAGAAATAGAAGAAGAAGAAGAAGAAGAAGAAGAAGAAGAAGAAGAAGAAGCAACGAATAAAGAATAGAAATAGAAGAAGAAGAAGAAGAAGAAAAAGCAACGAACAAGGAAAAGAAGAAGAAGAAGAAAAAGAAGAGGAGGAAGAGGAAGAAGAAGAAGAAGAAACAAAGTATATTAGACTAAGAAGTAGAAGAGAGAATATAAGGAGGATAAGAAGAAGAAGAAGGAGGAGGACGAGGAGAAAGAGGAGGAGGCATAAAAGAGGAAGAAGAATGAATATAAAATAATAATAATAATAAGAAGAAGAAGAAGAAGAAGAAGACGAGGAGAAGAGAAAGAAAGAATATAAAACGAAGGAAGAGAAGAAGGAATATAAGAAGGATGATAAGAAGAAGCATAAGAAGAAGAAGGAGAAAAGGAGGAAAAAGAAGAAGCGACAAACAAGGAATAGAAGTAGAACAACAACAACAATAACAAAAACGACAGCAAAAAGGAATATAAGACGAAGAAAAAGAAGGAATATAAAAAAGGAGAAGAAAAGCAAAAAGAAGAAGAACAACAACAGCAACAAGGAAGAAGAAGGAATAAAAGAAGAAAATCAAGAAGAAGTAGATGGAGATGAAGAAGATGAAAAATGTGATGGTGATGATGAAGAAGAAGAAGTATAAGAAGAAGTAAAAGAAAAATGAAAATGAAAGGGATGAGTTTAAAGAACGAAACATTTAAAAATAAAATTTAGGGAAAATTAGGAAAAATAAAGGAGTAGCGAAAAAAGACATAGAATGAGAAAAAGAAAGAGTAACTGAAGGGAACGAAGAAAAAGAAAGAAAGAAAGAAAGAAAGAAAAAAGAAAGAAAGAAAGAATACAAAACGTAAATCTAAAAAGTTAAAAAAAAAAGAGAGAGTGGAAGTGGTATTGCATATTCAGGTGAATCTTTTGATTTCTCTGTTGAAAGGTAAACAAAAATAATGTGGATGTGATCAACTGTGAATCCTGATAAAAGGGACCGGGACAAAAAAGAAAATTAATTTCAGAAGTACAGCTTATTTATTGATTACAGATGATCGAAGGCGAAAAAGAAGAAAGGACGGCTATGCGTGGACGCATCGAATTCTTAATTCCAGACACTACCATTTCTTTGTATTGAAAGACAGATTTGACATCACCGACGATGCAATTTAAACTCGGGATTACAAAGAAAAGGGTAAATCAAGACACCATACCATGCGTCTTTTTGCTTATATTTTTCGCCATCTTACTTTATAGAAATTACCGTACGACTTTTACCCACTTATTCTGTAACATATTCCATCCGGACATCATTATATATATATATATATATATATATATATATATATATATATATATATATATATATGAAGAAATATAGTGTTAAGGTGTGCTATATTTATGGGATAATGTGCTCAATATCAGAGATAGAGCGTGTGTAAATATAAAAGTGAACTTAGAAGTCAACACTTAGAGCGACAGTCTGTTTCATACTATATGCAGTCGTCAGGTGGCCTGACGATTGCATATATATATATATATATATATATATATATATATATATATATATATATATATATATATATATATATATATATATATATATTTTAATTTGATGAAAACAGAAAACATTAATGGTTCATCGTTATAATTTATTTCTCAAGGGAATATATTTTTCCCTGGCTCATCAGACCACACTTCCAAAGGTGAGAAAATGAATTTAAATTTACATATAATTTTTAACACTTTTGAGGAGTAGAATTAAGGTGATGTAAGGTGATATAGAGAGTGGTGAGAGATAGTGTGACAACTATCTGTCACCATTATTTCATTAGTGATATATATATATGTGTGTGTGTGTGTGTGTGTGTGTGTGTGTGAGTTTGTGTGTGTGTCCGACAATATTTTAATACATTTTTATGTTAATACATTCTTTTTTTAGATACAAATATTTAAGTAAATGCTCTGTTTATAATAAACAGTATTAACAACATTTACTGGTCTTAAAATAATTGTCGGACTTTGTCCATTTCAGAATGTGTGACATCACTTGTTTACATTTGGATACGCTTTGAGCAGATATGAATGTACGTTAGATAATCATGGACAATTGTAGTTTAAAAACAATAAAATCGACCTTGCTAACCGAGAAGCTCTTCTGTGACGAAATCGGTAAAAGCACGTTACACTATATGACGTTTCGTATAGGATACAGGTTCGATTTCTGTCGAAGGACGCATATTTTCTATGGCAATTACTCGGATATTCAGTTCGGTTAATACTGTTTATTATAAACAGCCTATTTACTTAAATATTTTTATCTATAAAAAATAATGTATAAACATAAAAATGTCTTTTTATATATATATATATATATATATATATATATATATATATATAGGTTATATAACGATATAAAATATATATATATATATATATATATGTTGAGGGTTCAACGAGAAAAAGTTTTTTGGTTGTAATGTGGATTTATTTATTTAGAAAAAACATTATGCTTTTTTTTTTTACATAATTGTGTTGGTAATCCGAATTTCTTATTACCAACACACAAACAGTGAATGTCTCATATCGAGAATATTTAACATTGAACATAAGGAAACAATAATTATTTTTAATAATATGTGGAAATCTGCGCTTTTACCTGAAGACGGTCGCGAGACCAGAAACACGTGTCGTAAAATTATGTAAAACAAAGCATAATATTTTTTTCTAAATAAATCCACATTACAACCAAAAACGTTTGCGGACCTCTCTTCTCTTTCTTTTTTTATATATATATATATATATATATATATATATATATATATATATCGCTGTTAAGTTTCCTCGAGTTTGCAACAGCTAGCAGGCGTTCCGTTTATTTATTAAAGATTATATTTTTTTATTTTCGTTTAACAGCTTAATTATTCAAGAAATCTTATTAAATTAATGTCTCCACGAGAATGCACTAAAAATAACGTTTATATTGATAAAACATCTGTCGGATTAATAAGAAATCCATTTTAAATATGTAAATGGTAGACTCTCCCGTCGTATTCGACGTTTGAGGTACAAGCGGATCAGTTCCTACGAGACCAGCATGATTTGTGGTGAAGGTTTTGTGCAGAACCAACCACACTTCTTGAAGAGACGGATGCAGAGACCTGGTACACTTCATGCCACAAAATCCCCAAACGATCCTCCGCAGGTTTTAAATACAGAGTTGTCCTCTTAGACCAGTTGCCATCCATGGATATAGAACAGTCTGACCTGAAGACAGATGGTTCTATAGTCTTGGATGGATTTAGAGGATTAATAACTTCCCCAACAGTATTAGCACGTAATGTAATAGATTCGACTGGAATTCGAACTCGGCTCTCCGATTCCCAAATACGAGGCACTATCAACTACTCCACCATGTCTCCTCTCTCTCTCTCTCTCTCTCTCTCTCTCTCTCTCTCTCTGAATAGTGCGTCCGGAGGTGGGGTGATGGCTGTTAAAATTTAGAGTTAAAATATGTATGGAGGGCTTACTCATCCTGGGAGTGATGTTGATGAAAATAGGTTTCTTTGTAGAAATTGCACTTTTTGAGTAAAACGAAATCCCTGTTTAGTCCCTTTATGTGGGTATTTACTTTCAGGGTATATTTCAAGTCCGATCTGCGTCTGTCCTTGCGGCACCTGACATCGTCTATGCCATGACCAGGTTGGTTGAAGTGTACAGAGACGGTTAAATGTTGTTGTTGTCCCTGATGTTTTTCTTTTGCTTATTGAACCTTAAACAAAACTCTGTTCCGAATTCACCCACATAATTTCCCTTCTTGCATTTATGACAGAAAAGTAAATATACGTGATTGGAACTGTTACAGCGTGTAAGAGCTTTATTTAAGTTTTCTTTTATTCTTTTCTGAACATAAAGTATGTAAACTTTTGCATGTCCGAGCGCTTTCTGGTTATGACTTTACAGGTTACCATATGCATTTATATATCTGTAATATATACTTGTATATATATATATATATATATATATATATATATATATATATATATATATATATAGATAGATAGATAGATAGATAGATTCCCAAGTTGGCATCTACGCGGACGACACTACCATTTACTTCTGCCTCAAAAACAAATCTAGTGTTGCCAACAAAACTAACCTGACCACTCGTCTTGAAATAGTCCTCCAATCGGTTGTTAACTGGGGCAAGAACTGGCTGGTCAACTTTAACGCCTCGAAAACGAAACTACTCTCTATTAATCACCATAGAGATCCTTCCTTGCCCCCCCCCCACTTTCTTGAGAGCAACTCTCTGCGTCTGCTTGGTCTCACGTTGACTGCTGACCTGAGATGGAACAAATACATTGAGTCAATTGCATCGTCCACCGCGAGGAAAGCTGGCTCTCTGTGCCGCGCCAGGAAATTTTTCTCCCCAGGAATCGATACTTCAAATATACAAATCAACCATTCGCCCTTGCATGGAGTATTGCTGCCATATATGATCTGGTGCACCTTTTATTTACCTCGGAGTTCTTGATAAGATCCAGAGACGGATATGTAATATAATTGGCCCTGATCTGGCATCTCGTCTACAGTCACTCTCTCACAGACGCGCTGTCGAAACTCTGTCTTTTCTTAAATACTTTCATGGTAATTGCTCCGCTGAGCTGCTTTCACTGGTTCCCAGTCTCCATGAATTCAAGCGCCCTACGAGGCTGGCATCCCGCTCTCACCCTTACTTTGTAGAAACTTTTAAATGCAGCCGCCTCTTCTACTCCAATAGCTTCATACCTCGTACCTCTCGCCTGTTGAACACCCTTCCCAATTACTGTTTCCCTTAGAGCTATAATCTCCAACTATTCAAATGTAATGTCAATCGACATCTCCAGTTACCTTGATCTACCCACTATCCCTCTCCTCATCCTTTCTTCTATCACTCCTATCTGCTCTTGCTCCAAATCCTCTGCAACCTCCTGCATCCTAGTGGCTTCACGCCTTGCTTGGGGCGTAATGTTTAAATATATATATATATATATATATATATATATATATATATATATATATAGATAGATAGATAGATAGATAGATAGATAGATAGAGAAGTAAAATGAAGTATAAATCCATTGTACTTAAAATTTAATTTAAACGAGGACTCAATATTTACTTTAGGATATTAAAACAAAAACATGTTAAAAATCACTACAATTATGTTTCAACACTACAAATATGTCTCCTCGGGCGATGTTAAATTCAATTAGTCAAATGTTACGAACAGTGGAATTATTTTTTCTCATTGTACGTGGAGTATGGAGTATGATTCCACTGTACATAACATTTAATTTAAAAGACGGCGTAATACAAAGTAGAGCTAAATATTCTTTATTTTAGGATATTAAACAAAAACATGTTAAAAATCGCTACACATTTACAATTATGTTTCAACATTACAAATGTATCTCTTCGGCTGATAGTAAAATAATTTCGACCCAACATATAAATAGAAAATAAAATAAATATTATAACTCCAGCACTTGAAAATTGCTTCGGCATAAAACTCCGAGTTGTGCAATTAATGTAAGATGTATATTGCTTAATATATATATATATATATATATATATATATATATATATATATATATATATATATTATATTAAGCAATATATATATATATATATATATATATATATATATATATATATTAAATAACTTTTATGGGTAAATCAGCAAGTCTGTCTTTGTTATGAGTGAGGATAACTTTTTCACTTTCAGTTTGTTTATGATATAATTATTTTTTTTAATTTTTCTTTTCCGATTTTTATCCATAGAACTTACATTTATTTTTTCTTTATTTCCTTCTTCTATTTCTTCTTTCTTTTTCTTTCTTTTTTTCTTTCTTTTTAATTTTGCATGTTTCATTAGATCTTTCTTTCTTTCTTTCTTTCTGCATTCTTTTGTCTATCCTATCTATTTTGCTTCTCTTTCTTTCTTTCTTTTTAATTCTTAATCTTTCATTAGACAATACTTTCTTTCTTTCTTTATCTCCTGTCTATTTTGGTTCTATTTATTCCTTTCTTGCTTTCTTTCTTTCTACCTTTTTATTTCTTCTTCTTTCATTTGATCATTGTTTCTTTTTAATTCTTTTTTCATTAGATCACTTTTTTTCTTTCTTTCTTTTTCTTTCTTTTATCCTGACTACTTTGGTTTCTTTCTTTCTTTCTTTCTTTTTTTTTTAATTCTTCTTTCATTTGATCATTCTTTCTTCCATTCTTTCATTCTGTCTTTCTTTTTAATTCTTCTTTCATTAGATCACTTGCCTTCCTTCCTTTTTTTCTTTCTTTTATTCTCTTTATTTTGGTTCTATTTCTTTCTTTCTTTCTTTCTTTCTTTCTTTCTTTTAATTCTTCTTTTTTCATTTGATCATTCTTTCTTTTTAATTCTTCTTTCATTAGATCATTTCTCTTTCTTTCTTTCTTTCTTTCTTTCTTTCTTCTTTCTTTCATTAGGTCATTTGTTTTCTTTCTTTCTGTTTTACTTCCTTTCTTTCTTTTTTTGCTTTCTTCCCTGTCTATTTTGATTCTAATTCTTTCTTCTTTTCTTTTTAATTCTCCTTTCATTAGATAATTCTTTCTTTCTTTTTTCTATCTTTTATATTTTCGTTATATTGCCTTCTCTTGTTCTCTTTAATTCTTCTTCATTAGATCATTCTTTCTGTCTTTTTTCTTCCTCCCTTTCTATCCTCTCTATTTTGCGTCTATCTCTTTCTTTTTCTCTCTCTTTAATTCGCCATCTTTCATTAGATCATTCTTTCTTTCTGTCTTCCTTTTTTTTATTCCTCTCTCTCTTTCTATCCTATCAATTTTTCTCCTGTCTTTCTTTCTTTCTTTCTGTATTACTTTCTTTACTTCTCTTTAGTTATTATTCTTTGTTTCTTTCTTTCTTCCTTTGTTTGTTTGTTTGTTTGTTTGTTTGTTTGTTTCTTTCTTTCTTTCTTTCTTTCTTTCTTTCATTATTTGGCTGTTTTTCTTTCTTTCTTTCTTTCTGTTTTGTTATTCATTTTTATTTTCTATCTTTTATCATTCCAAGATTTTTATTTTTCTTCAACATTTTTTCCTAGATTTCCTTCCTTCCTTCATTATCCATTTTCTTTTTTCTCTTTTTTAGCCTTAATTCACCCGCCCGTCTGAATTAAAGGACACGCACTTCGTCCGATTTCCGCACCTCTAATTCATGTCTGCGTTTCTGGTGATGAAGGCAAAGAGAGATAGCACCGAAGACCAAGATGAGTAAACGCGCGCATCTTTCTTACAACTGAAAACGAAGATTAACAACGTAGCAATAACCTATAATTTCTTAATTCATGAAATAAAACCATGTTTTCTTTTTTTGCTGTCCCTTTCACTCTTTCTCACCCCATCCCCCCCACGAGATACCTCATATTTTATCCTTTGCTTTAAGATTCCTCGTCATTTTATGTCCTTGTTCAATTTGTATGCCTTTGTGACGCATAAATTTTATTTGTTGATTGCTTTGTTTTCTCTCGTTGTATCGTGTTTTTATACTTTCACTTTTACATCCTTTCTGCCGGTCTGCATTTGCTTTGGTTGCAACGTCCATTCTTTTCTCATTACCGATTTGTCTACTTTCACTTTCCTGTAGTCAGTTTCTTTTAACTTTTTCTATTCTGTTTTCGGTACTTTGGCTTTATAGATGTAGTTATACTAAGACTTTTCCAACTTTTACTTACACTTTTAGTATATATTTCTTCTTTCACTTAGTTTTTACGCTGACTTTATTTCTTTCAGATACGTTTAGTTTCATAATTTTCTTTTGTTTTCTCAAGAGCTACTTTCACTTTCATTATTTACTTTCATACTTCTGTTTTAAAATTTCCCATATTCTCTTCACTTATTTTATTTTAGTACTAGCAGTATAAACCATCTTTGACCGGGTCTTTCATTACTGGAAATTTTTGCCGTTCAGTTGGAGCAGTTTAAGTTTAAAGTCAGCCCACCTGAAAATCAGTATTATTAACAACATTTGGGTGCAACTGAGGCCCATCCTCAAATTGGGTGGGTCAACAATTTGAAGGGAGAGTCTCGAAAAAAAGAACTGTATAATAATAAATATTATTATTGTCATAATTTAAACTATTTATTTTTATTAAAGTTTTTTATGAAATATATATATCCAAGAATAGATAGTAAATAGTAAAAACGTTACTGAGAATTATAATCGACAGAAAGTAGTGGAGAGCCATTGTCGCCAAAAATTGAAACTCAAAACCGGCACTGCAGAATTATCTATCAAACAAAAAATTCATCGAAATTGGATGAAAACTGTGGAAATGCGTAAACAACATCCGATCACACACACACACACACACACACACACACACACACACACACACACACACACACACACACACACACACACACACACACACACACACATATGCATACACATATTTTGAGAATTATAGATATAGAATTACAATTCATTCTTGTACTTTTACTTTCACTTTCGTTTCTTTTCTGTAATCTTTCACTTACATTCTAATACTCTTATTTACCTTTCATTGTTGTGCTTTTAATTTTGTTTTCATTCTATAAGATATTTATTTTATTGTTAATGAGCTTTTAACGTTCATTGCCTCGTTTGTATTTTTTCTTACATTCAATTTTATTCTCTTATGCGTATTTTCACTTTCATTTTCAAAACTGTGACTTTCACTTTCATTCTTACATTCTTATTTTCATTTTCATTTTCATTCCTGTTCACTTACTTTCACTTATATTCTTTCTCTTTTATTCTCTTAAACTTACTTTCGGTGACATGATGGAACGCTTAAATTTACTTTTTCACCTATTTTTACTTTAACTTTCATTCCTGTACTCATTCATTTTCATTTTTATTTTTTACTTTGAGTTTCACTTTGATTCCTGTGTTCTATCTTTTACTTTCATTCTAGTACACTTACTTTCTCTTTCATTGTTTTTGGCTTTAATCCAGCGGCTCTTACTTTCACTTTCGTTCTTGTACTCTTTATTTATTTTATTCTCCTACGCTTACTTTCATTTACAAGCAATTAACTTAATTTCATTTTTTTCTGCTACTTTCACTTTCATTTTCTTACTCTGATTCTCCTTCATTTTGATATTTTTACTTTCACTTTCATCCCTGTACGATTACTGTTTCTTTTATTCTCTTACTTTCACTTTCATTCTTGTATTCTTACATTCTCTTTTATTACTTTATGCTTATTTCACTTTCATTCCGTTTATCGTACTGCAACTTTCATTCTTTTATTCTTGTTTTTATTGCCCTGTATTTACATTGCTATATTAGATTCTTAATCTATTCTCATTAGTAATTTCCTACATTAACGTCTCCTTCAACTGTAACATTCCTTGCTTTAATTTTACCTTCCAAATTTGATATTCGCTCCGTTTTCTTTTCATTCTTTTATTTTCCAACTTTTGTCTTAATAACTTGGACTTTTATTCCTTTGCCCCTACCTTTTAATTTCATTTATTTTCTATCTTTTGAAACTTGACTAATGCATGGAATAATAATGCAACACAAAATGTACTTAGAACAAAATGTATTGAAACAAGAAAGTGTACACAATATTTACATATAGTCTTTTGTATATTCCTGGGAAGACCGTTCCTGGAGAATGTGTTGACTTAGTCGCAGTTGGGCAGAGTCTCTGGATTGAATCTATTGATTCCTCCCTCTCTTCCTGGTATCAACCATATTTATATGGTCGGTACTCTACTATGCAAATTAGGTGGATCCTACCACAACACTATCTTACTTTCGTCCTCTTACACA